CCCCAAAACCCCAAAACCCCAAAACCCCAAAACCCCAAAACCCCAGATATTTAGCAGAATAATGAAAGTAATTATATATAGAATATTATTTTCAGACTTTAGTCTGGGTGAGGCTGTATTTGTGAATTTATATTAATAATCTTCTTCATCATAATAATCTTCAAATTCCTCATCATCATCTGTGATATCCTGGTACTGTTGATACTCATCAATTAAATCTTTCATATTAGAATCAGCATCAAAAAACTCCATTTCATCCATACCTTCACCAGTGAATTGATGCCAGAAAGCTCTTCTTCGAACCATAGCTGTGAATTGCCCATCAATTCTTTTGAACATCTCCTGGATGGCAGTTGAGTTTGCAATCAATGTCGAGGCAAACTTAAGCCCTCTTGGAGGAATATCACAGTGAGATGTTTTCATATTATTTGGAATCCACTCTACAAAATAAGAAGAGTATTTGTTTTGTATGTTAAGCATTTCCTCATCACGTTCATAATTATTAGTCACTCTTCCTCTAAATAAGGCAGATGCCGCTAAGTATCTTCCATGTCTTGGGTCACTCGCGCACATCATGTTCTTAGCGTCAAACATCTGATTTGTAACCTCTGGAATAGTCAAGGCTCTGTATTGTTGAGATCTTTTAGAGGTAAGTGGAGCAAAACCAATCATGAAGAAATGAAGTCTTGGAAATGGAGCCAAATTTACAGCTAATTTCCTCATATCTGAATTCAATCTGCCAGGAAATCTTAGACAGCAAGTCACTCCTGAGAGACATGCAGACACCAGATGGTTCAAGTCTCCATAAGTAGAATTTGTAAGCTTGAGTGTTCTAGTGCAGATATCAAACAAAGCTTCGTTGTCAAGAACCATGACTCCATCACAATGCTCGACTAATTGATGAGCTGAAAGAGTGGCATTATATGGCTCAACAACAGTATCTGAAACCTTTGGAGAAGGAAATACAGAGAAAGCATTTATGATTTTATCTGGGTATTCTTCTCTGATCTTTGAGATCAGCAAGGTTCCCATCCCTGATCCAGTTCCTCCTCCAAGTGAATGAGCAATCTGGAACCCTTGGAGGCTATCGCACTCCTCAGCCTCCTTCCTGATTACGTCAAGTACGGAGTCAATAAGTTCAGCTCCTTCAGTGTAATGTCCTTTGGCCCAATTGTTTCCTGCACCAGTCTGTCCGAACACAAAGTTATCCGGCCTGAAGAGTTGTCCAAATGGTCCAGCTCGGACTGAGTCCATAGTTCCTGGCTCAAGATCCATCAACACAGCTCTTGGAACGTATCTTCCACCTGCTGCTTCATTGTAGTATACATTGATTCTTTCTAACTGGAGGTCTGAATCACCATGATAAGTACCAGTTGGATCAACTCCGTGTTCGTCTGAGATAACTTCCCAGAATTTAGCTCCAATCTGATTACCACATTGGCCACCTTGCACATGAACAATTTCTCTCATCGCAATTAAATTTATTATTAACTTTTGATTTGATTAGCTTAAATATGTTCAATTCTGGCATTACGCAATGGGGTTTTGGGGTTTTGGGGTTTTGGGG